AGGGGGGAAAAAAAAAAGGAAGGAAAAATATTCTCTAATCACTCACACAAGCATAAGTATTGTATAAAGCATGATCCTAAATGAAACATTAACATGGAAAAATCTTTTTATGATACAAAAAACAACCTTAATTTAAGTCAAGTGGGGAAAGATAAGTGATCCGTTCTATAGATCTGTGCTTTGAGTTCCCGTCCTTCTTACATATTTAATAACAATTAAGAAATAGTAGAAAGTTACAGAGAAAAGGACGTTCTGTGCAGAGTTAGAGATCAGAAAGAATATTCTATGTTAACTATGGAATTAGATTATAATTGAGTATTGCCCATTAAAGTTTGCTGGGCTTATTTCTCTAAAATTGAATAATAACTATGAGAAGCTAAGTATCTAAAATAGGACATCCAAGTCTCAGGTTGCAAAATGTACTATTCTCATCTCTGTAATTGGTACTTTACAGTTGCAATTCACATTTTCACCATTAAATTTCATATTTATTCCAAACAACTAGCATGGAAAGTAATGTAAATCATAATGTACAGAACGAGACCAAGTCTATGCTTTTCTCCTTATACCTAGCTCTCTTCATCTTGTTCTAGTTCCCTTGTGACTCCTCTCAGGTAGTTGACTCTGTTAAAGGACACCATTTCTTCATATGTTTGATAACTATCCTGAAATGTTTCAAGCTGGGACTGCAGCTACAGAAGTTCCTCATTCCCAGGACAAAGATAGAGATCAGGATGCTCTTTGTCCAGCAATACTGAGCGCACCCAACGTATACTCTATATACACTTCTATGCAGTATAGAAATTCTTGTGGGAAAGACAAAAGACAAGGGGAACTAATGGGCCATTATTTTACTTCCTTCTTCAACTGTTCAGAATAGTGTTTCCAAACAGTAGCATTTCTGTTATACTTTTCACTTACATGTGCGTAAGCTTTGAATAGCAGGTAGTAGAACAAAAGGAACAGAAGTCTTCCCTAAGTGTGGAATATAAAAGAAGTCTTCAAGAAGTCTTCCCTAAGTGTGGAATATATGCTAAAACAGAAATAAATGCCTTACTTGCGTGTAAGAAAAATGCATGCAAGGAATAAATTACCAATTGCATCCAAAACAGGAAAAACAAAGGAAAAAAGAACAGATATAATGGACAACAAGAAGTTTTTCTTTTTAAACGCTCTTTTAATATATCAACATGTACCTTACTTCAAGTATTGGAGTTGGTGGAGAGAAAAGCTCCTGACTTTTTGGAAGACGGGACCCAAGACACAGTAAGGAGAATTGCAACACGACTCTTAAAAAAATTCCTCCACGTATGGGGAACATATTAGCAACATCTTACTTACATTACATTGAGATTTTTTGCTACCTCGTTTTTTGTCATTTGGCATTGTATAAAGTACCTGAAAATATAACAACATTTAACGAATCGAGTTGTAAAAGCTGGAATCAGCCGTTTTGTCTGATGACCATCAGATTAATTAGGAAGCAAAGTAGCTCTTTACCTTGTAAGAAGACCTCTTTAGCAGGATGGTAAAGTGGTATTAAGTCACACTTTACATGCACAGACCTTTACACTTCCAGAGCAAGCAAGGCTAGATGCTGTTTTCCTGCAAGTAATTTCCTCTCCTGTTTCATAGTGCCTGCCAGTTGTTTACAGTCTTTTCTACTCGTTTATTTCTGTCTGCAGAATTTTACATTGAGTTCCATGAACTAGGTAAAATATGATATTATGACAACTGCAAAAGCATATTGAAAAACTATAGTTTATCAATGTCAAGTTCAACAGTTTTTCTTTTTGGTTTGAATAAAGGAAACACAATAGCGAAAGGGGAGAGGGAAAAGTAATGAGGCGCCTCATGGCGAGGGGCCGCGGGAAGGCGCCCGCTCGGTGCGGGCGGGCGCTGAGTGACAGCGCCAGCGGGTCCGCGGGGC